AGGCTGGGTCTACAAAATTAGTGCCCATATTATTGCAATATTCGTTGATATTCTTCAGCCCTTCTTCATCAACCTACCCACACTAATTCGTGGATCTTCATATACGTACCAACCCACCTCTTCGCTAGTGGTAAACCTATCAAACTCGGCAGGCTTCATTCCCGCCTCTCGAGGGGCCTCCTCAGTGGCTCTACTCGGACCTAGCAGACCAGCATCTAACCAGCAGAGACACACTGACACTACCCACCACTTGCTTTCCCAACCTCCCCTTCTGCGTCCTGCATCGACTCCCGTAGTATCTACTCTATTAATGCGACGAGCCTCTGCCCTACAACGATTACTTTATCAATCTCGGGATCTGCCTCCGCAGCTGCAGCTGTATCAGGATCAGACATTATGTACCTGATTAGGTATCATTACCACGATTCGATGAATCATGACCATCACTCCATGCTCTTATCATTCGCATTTGAGTCCCCCATCTCCCCTTGATGGGTGGGGGACGACACCATATCAACGTCCTCGTCCAAACTTTGACTCAGCCAAAACTCGTCGGGAAAGTCCTGAGAAAAGAGGGGGTCATTCTTCCGGCATCTCCGCAATAGTGATGAGTGAGGTGATCCAGTAAGGAGGGTCATTTCTCATGCTGAGAATCTTATCCAAATTGGATAATCCAATACGAGCAAATGGGAATAACTCCGTATTCTACAGCGAAGCAGTTGAAAGCATATCCTCCCAAATGATCTTGCCCATTACCATAAATTCCATAAGATAAGCAGCAGCTGCCTCGACATCCTCATGGCATCTCCTCAATGCAACCACACACCTGTCCAGCGGCTGACCCAGAGATTCGGACAAATGTTGGGCATCAGCCGATGCAGGCATGGAGGATACTTTACCAAAAACTACTGAACCACTGAATTACCCCCCAACACGACTCGATCAGCTCGAGAAGTATCATTACTATTCTCGACCTGCTTTGACTTGCAGATGGCTTCGCATCAATTCTCTTGTCCCATGATCTGCTCTCCTAATGGGCTCTGGTACTCGAGATTCATTGCTGCAGCATTTAAGGCATATATCTATGCAATCTTGCAATGCCAAGCGGTGTCCGACAGAGAC